TAGTAGCAGTAGTAGTAGTAGTAGTAGTAATAGTAGTCGTAGTAGTAGCAGTCGCAGAAATAGTAATAGAAGAGGAGGAGGGAGAGGAGGAGGAGGAGGAGGTCTGGGGAGGAGGAGGTCTGGGGAGGAGTCCCCTCTCGGCGACCGAAAACCAGCGGCCAGACAGCGCGCGAGGGCCGCCGCGGCGTGTGCCGGGCCCCTGGCAGCCGCGACCCCGCGGCCACGGGGCGCCGCTCCGCGGAGGCCCCACGCGGAACGTCTTCGAAACAAGACGACGACGGCGACGACGACGATGACGACGACGGCGACGACGGCGATGGCGACGACGACGACGCGACGACGACGACGACGACGACGACGGCGGCGACGGCGACGGCGACGGCGACGGTGACGGCGACGGCGACGACGACGACGGCGACGACGACAGCGACGACGGCGACGGCGACGACGGCGTCGGCGACGACGACGACGGCAACGCGCGGATGCCCCGCGCGGAACGACGACGACGACGAAGCCGACGACGACGACTACGACGACGACGACGGCGACCGCGAGAAGTCTTCAGAACCACACCCCCCATAGGGGGTAATTGGCTGATTCGTATTCTGTCCGGCGGCCTCACGGAAAAGCTGGGGCCCCACCAATGGGGGGGGCAGCCGATCACCTCTCTCCGCGGCACCCGCCGCGCAGCAACGACGACGCCCCCTGAGGCTCTCCGCGTGGCCGCGCCCGCCCGGGCCCAGGCCGCGCCCGCGGGCGTCGGGCGCGGGGCGCGCCCTGCGGGTGACGCGCTCAGCGGTTGCGGAGAGCTCTCCGCAACCGCTGAGCGACGACGTCGGCTCATTTAGGAGGTCTGAGAGGAGGTTAGGACGACGACGACGACGACGACGAGACCGCTGAGCTCTCGAGAGGAGGTTAGGACGACGACGACGACGACGACGAGCTCATTTTCGCCAAGCCCTCTCCCTCCCGAGCCCGAGGAGCCCGAGCCCGAGCCCGGACCCGCGGGGGCGCGCACGCGGCCGTGTGCTCGCCGCTCGTGCCTCGAAAGCTGGGCCGGCCGACGCGGCCACGGCCGGGAGGTGCTCCGCTGCTGCCCGCGCCGGTGCGCGGCGGAGACGGCGAGAGCGGTGCGCCGGCGCTGAGTATCGCTGAACCGATCCCCAGAAACTCCAAGGAATCCGCACGGAGCGCCAAGAGTTTGTATTTACGGTGTTGTTTTCTTCTTCGAGCGATATCCTCATGAAGCTGAGTTCCCCAAGAGGCTCACGAGGCTCCTCAAAGACGCTCCTGAGGCCCTCGCCTCCTTGAGCATCGTTTATCCGATCCCTGTCCCCAGCGGCGTGGCCTGGGCCCCACTGGCCGATGTACCCCCCTGGATGGGGATGTGGGTCGTTCCCTTCGGGTTTCGGGGGGTGCATCCCCAACGGGGGGGTGATCTGGTGGGGGTCTCGAAGATGCACCCAAGACGGCCTAGGATGGCCTCAAGATGGCCCAGAACGGCCCAAGGGGCTCCTCAGAGGCCTCCAAGACGGCCCAAGACGCTTCCAAGAGGTCCTCCAGAAGGCCCGAAGAGGCGAAAATCATTGATTTTCCCTACGTTTTGAAGGATTTTGGCATTCGCGCCTTTTCGGCTTTCCGACGGCCCAAGACGGCCCAAGAGGCCCTCAAGGTCGCCGCAAGATCGCCCCCCTGGATGGGGATGCAGGTCGTTCCCTTCGGGTTTCGGGGGGTGCATCCCCAAATGGGGGGTAATTTGGTGGGGGTCTCTCGAAAGCTGGGCGAGGGCTGCTAAAGCCGCGGCTGCTAAAACGGCCCTCCCGGAAGGAAAAAACAACTTCCCGGAATGAGGCGCGGCACGCGAAGCAGTCCACGGGCTTCTTCCCGGAAGGACGAAGACACCTTCCCCCGGAGGGCGACTGTAGCAGCCACGGATTTCGCAGCCCTTGCCCGGCTCCCGAGTCTCGAAGGGGATGGGGATGGGGATGGGGGAGGAGGAGGAGGAGGAGGAGGAGGAGGAGGAGGAGGAGAAGGAGGAGGAGGAGAAGGAGGAGGAGGGAGGAGGAGGAGGGAGGAGGAGGGAGGAGGAGGAGGAGGAGGAGGAGGACAAGGAGGAGCAGGAGGAGGAGGAGGAGGAGGCGGAGGAGGAAGCGATACCGAGAGACGGCGAACGCGGTGCGCCAGCGCGCTGCGACCGGCCAGGGCGGAGCGGAGGGGGCGCCCTGCGGGGGGCAGGGCAGGGCTCGGCGGCCGCCGCCGGGATGCTGCGCGGCGCCGCCGCGCCGCGGAGCGCGCACGGCGGGCACGGGCGCGCGGCGAGGGCCCCACCCAAATCCCCTTTCAGAGCAGATGTTCAGTCATAGCTCCGCCAAAAACCTGATCACGTTCCGTCCGAGTCTGATGTGTGTCCGCGTGGACGCGTGCTGCTGCCGCGCACGGACCTGCATCTGGTCTTCACTGTCCTGCTGCCTCACTGTTCTGGCTCTGTGCTGGCCGCGTCCTTGGCGAGGAAGGCGTCCAGGCCGGGCGTCGCCATGGCCGTCGCCAGGTCGGCGGGGGCGGGGCCCTCCAGGATCGGGTCGCCCACCTGGTCTGGCCGCCGACGTGCTGCAGGCATCGCTTCGGCACACGCCCCCCACGTCGCTCCAGAGCGCGCCCTTCTCTTGCCTTATGTTGCTCCCATCGTACTTAAGGACCACATCCCAGAAATAAGTTCGAGCGTCCCGAAAAGTGTCGAAAGAGTGTCGAAAGAGTGTCGAAACAGTGTCGGGCGAGTTTCGCCCAGGGCCCGACACGTGAAAACCCTCGAGTTTCGGTATTTATGCTGGTGCTCGAAATTCTTTCTGGTGATCAAGGCTAAAGTAGGTTGGAACATCATAACTCTTGACGAGCGTGCACGCACGCTTGCTCGAGGGTATCCTGGATAAAACCCAGGATTGGGTCGCCCGCCGGTCTGGCCGCTGGCGTGCTGCAAGCATCGCTTCGTCAAACGTCCCCCACGTCGCTCCAGATCGCACCCTTCTCTTGACCTATGATGTTCCAACCTACTTTAGCCTTGACCACCAGAAAGAATTTCGAGCACCAGAAAAATACCCAAACTCGAGGGTTTTCACGTGTCGGGCCCTGGGAGACACTCGTCCGACACTCTTTCGACACTCTTTCGACACTTTTCCGGGCGCTCGAAATTATTTTTGAGATGTGGTCCTGAAGTACGATGGGGGCAACATAACTCTTGACGAACGTGCACGCACGCTTGCTCGAGGGTGTCCTAGATAAAACCTGCACATGCAGTCAGTCGGCACAAGGTGCATTCTGAATTCTCCTCTGGCCGTGAAGCTCCAGCGGCAGCCGGAGGTGCGGTCGAAGCAGCACTTGCTCAGATGGTCTTGATCCATTGGCGATGCAATATCATCCAGCGCGAGACATGCTCAGCAGCAGTGCGCTGGTTGACAGAACAGAGCGACGACATAGATCATGCCTACACGCCACGCCCATCCGTGCTTCGGTGGGGAAGTAGAGGAGGGAGGGAGCGAGGGCGGGACAGGGCAGGAAGAGGAGATGCGTTGCGGGGGAGGGGAGGGATGAGTGCGGGGAAGGGCCACGCGCTGGTAGGATACGTACGCACCAGCAGCGCTGGCGCGCGTGCGCGCTTATGCCCTCAGTCGCAAGGGACCGCAACACGCCTACTCTCACACCATCACTCAACCATACAGACTCCGCCGCAGAGCCGAGACGTAAACGGAAACAAGCGTACGAGACAAATGATGCAGAAACATTTCACCACACGGTATTTAACCACACAACACTGCCCAGAACACTCACTCCGTTAGTGAGACGCGCGCTCGCGCAGCTGCCAGCCGCAGGCGACCGCGCATGCCGGTGCTTCACCGATCCTTCAACTGCAAGGACCCAAACAATCACACGAAAGAAAAACCAGCATGGATACTTTCATCTCTCGAACCCCAACCAACACCAGCAAAAAAACAATGAAGCCGCCCCAGCATGGGACAATGTGTTAAACCATTCGACACATGTTCCCATTGTTTCTGCGTCCCCGAAGCGTTTCTAAGGCGGCAGTTCCGCTGCATGCGCCTGCACTTCTGTGAGCAAAGCAACTCGCCTGGCAATCGTTTCTGGATGGGCTGGTGGGGATACGCGAAGCGCCAAGAAATCAGCTGCCAAGCCCAAGCACCATGCAACTACATGACGCCTATGAATGCGCTGCGTCAACAAAATGCGTACGCGCCCTCACGCCCCCGGCGGCGAACGACCGCCGCACGCCTACGTTCACCGCATCACCCCGCCATACGGAAACCAGCTTGGTCAAACAAACGCGACAACACAAACATACCCCGAACAACAAACAACGGAAACCATCTTTGCCCAGAGAACATAAGAACATACCAGAGGGAAGCTTGCCTTCTCAAGCCCAACAAGCAGCCGCATCATACGGTCGGGAACCTTTGCTTAGCGTGTCGCGACGGCGGCCCCAGCGACACGCCATGCCCTGCGAGCGGACAGCGTGTCGCTCCGCTCCGCGGGGCGGGCGGCGGGGAAAGCCTCGCGGCGGTGACACTGGGGGGCCGGGAAGTGGATGGCGAGTCCCGCCGAAGCGCGGTGGGCCAGAACCAGCTGCGCGACGCGCCATCCATCAACTTCCGACCGCATTTCCCCGTGGAATTTGCCAGAAGGATGCGTATCCGACATCAGATAACTCCAGCCCGGCAGCGCAACAAAAGGAGGAAACGCCATGCCTCCCTCCCTGCGTCCTCGGTTATCTACTGGCCGACGGCTCTGGCCAGGGTCAATCCGAACCCGGGCCAGTCGGGCTTTGCAGGATTCTGCAGGATCCTGCAAGATCCTGCGAGTGCACCCCTGGCCCTGCAAGAGCCTGCACGATCCTTCGCGGTTCGGTTAGGTCGGGCATGTCCCCCTACAGGCAGATTTTGGGCTTTAAATGCTAGAACAAATCACACAACAAATCAAAAAGTCATCCCCGTACTATGTGTGGACTATTTTTGAATACTCCTCCAGTAGAGGGACAAGCCCGACTGAACGGTTCGGCGCTCTGGCTGACCCCCGTTTGCAATGACCTCCGTCACCTGAGCCCCGACGTCCCCTCCCCCTCCCGCCGGAAACAGCGGCTGCGGCCGCATCTGCTGGAAATTCTGGAAGCCACCCCCGCCCAGTGCCTGACCGGGAAGCGCGCGAGGAGGGCAGACGGGGGCTCGGCGTGCGCGCGCGCCTCCTCCTCCCTCCTCGTCCCCCGCCGTTTCCCGCCCCTCCTTCCTCCTCTTCCTCCTCCTCCTCCTCCTCGCTCCTCGCTCCTCCTACTCCACCCTCCTCCCTCCCCCTCCTCCCTCCGCCGTCTCCATCCTCCATCCCCCTAAGTTCTCAGCTCTCAGTTGCCACCTGGTCAGCATGCAAACACACTTGCCAGGGCGGGAAAGGCGGCAGCCTGGGATTAGTCTGACCCTGACCCCGCGCAATCATACCTCCCTAGACAGGAGAGTGGCTCTGGCGGGAGTCTCAAACGCAGACATGTCCCAGTTCCCGCCGCTCGCTGCACTTGCGAGCAGGATGACAATTTCCCAGAAGTTTAGGTCCAACTTAGGTGGTCGCAAACCCACTGCAAGCCGTGCACCAAATTACTGGAAGCCCTGAACCTTGCAGCCAGGACACATGGAGCTTGTGATCCCTGTGGTCATCATCGACCACGAGGCTGTGCAACGCGGGGTTTAGGCCTGGGCACCCCCCTCGGGACTCAAAGCCAACACGTCGCAGACACTTCGAACATCGCCACTTGCCCCCAGACCCCAACCAAACAAAGTTGTGGGGTGGCGGGGGCGGGGGTTTCGGTCTCCTCTCGACCGCCTCGCGGCACAGCTCCCCCACCTGCTCCTGAAGTGGGGGCCATTCCGCCAGCACCTTGCCGATGCCTCGAACTAGCTTGGTGTAGCACGAGGTGGCAATTTTGATCATGTCGCAGTCAGAATTACTGAATGCACTCTCATTCGCAGCGACACGGGCATAGTGATCGGCGCATTTATTCCTTAGAATAAACAGTTCGTCTTGCTCATCCTGGGCCTGAACAAACTCTCGGTGGGCCTTCCCACGCACGAACCCGACCACCCTCTCCGCCCCCGTCACCCGAGACATCGCCCTCGAGAAATGCACCTGGGGGCACTTGGGCCCGAACTTCCGAGAAGGGGGTCCCAGGAGAGATTTGCAATCTATGCACATCAATGTTTTCTAAACCGGCCTCGCTAAAGACCGAGGCTAGCACACCAGCGGCGTGCTCAGCTGAGACGGCAATGTGAAGCAGAGTATCTGGGAACCCTGCATAGCGCCCGCGGACCAGGGTTCCCTTATCAGTGATTTCCACCACCGAGCAGCCCGCACGGGCCAAGGTGGTCGGGTGCCGCTGGTAAACACAGCTACCATCGGAAAATAAGATTGCACCTGACGGGAAGTGAAACGAGTCGCATGGTTCACCGTGCTCTCCATAGAATTGAATGTGCCAAGCTGACTCTGGCCTAGCGAGATCCAGTTTCGCTACCCAGCCATGCGCGAACAACGGGTGATCCTCCCCCGCCTCCAAAGCCTGGCGAACCAACCTCCCGAAAGCCGCCTCCCTGGCCGACTCGGCATGTGGACATTTCCATATCCTATGCCACAACGTGTCCTTAAATCCGCAGCGAGGGCAATCATCGTCTATAGTGAAGCCCCATTTCGGAAGCAACACTCGAGTCGGGTAAGGGCCGCACCAGACCCGCCGAAATAGCAGTGCCTCGCGCCCCGAAAGTTCTGTCTTCTTCGAGGCCTGCGTCTTTTTCGAGAGCTTCCACAACACACCTCGATCACAGATGTCTTGCCACCCTCTGACCGAGCCAGCATTCTTTTTCTGGATAGCTCGCTGCACAGACTTGTCTTTTAGATGTAAGACGAACAAGTCCTTGACATACACTGGCGAGTGAGTTGTGAGAACTATATCCACCCCTTGCCTGTCAAGAAGCCGGGCGTGACATTTTATTTCCCACCCGGCTTCCAGAATCCACACGCTTACGTCTGACACAGGCCCTCGACTGTTGGAGTGCCATCTTTTGGTGCCACACTTGAGAATCCTGGCAAGGGCAGAATTGAAAACGCGGCTGAGTGTGCTGACTGGCAGCACATCATCGTGAACGCGTTGGCCGACGTGGCCAAGGTCGTGGCCGCCATTCTTCGGCACATCGGACAAGTGGCACAGCTGCTATCTGCAACGGGTCCTGGGCCCCAGATAACGCCCAAACTAAGTCCGCAGACGCCCCTCTCAGAGCTATCCCACAGTCCTTAGCCGCTGCTCCTCGTAGGAGCCGAACCCGCTCGTCAGAGAATGGTACCACCTCACCCCCGTAGGCAAGGCAAGGCAAGGCTTTGAATCAGTTTGAAGCAGGCGTGCTCGCTGTTTCGGCTTGGCTTTAATCTGCTTCAACCTATGGCGACGAAAAGTGAATTTCGCATATCGCTTGGTCCTGGTCTTCAGCGCTCTAGGACCTGTGCGACTCTTGCCAGAGGTGAAATACACTCGTAAATGAGCGATACTTGCAGCGTAACCCCCCCGAGACTCCCATGGAACTCAGAAGCCCGAGAAAACAGAGGCCCACTCGAGGCCGCCATGGCAAACTTGCCAACGGCCATGGGGAGCCCCAAAACTTGCTGCAAGCATCTTGACATGCTTCCTGCACATTCTCTCATGGTGAGAAGCACCCAGTCCGCGCTGGCACCCCGCACCTGCATGCATAAGTCATCTATGTGTAGCGACTCCGCTGTCTGGTCTGGCCAGCCTACAGCTAGAGCTGCCATCCCAAGTTTTAGATAGAACTTAGCTTCGTAAGTCGCCGTGCTACTACCTGCCACTAGCCCTCGGGTCGCCCATAAATCAATGGAGACCCTCTCTGTCTTTGTGCGTGTGTCCTCCAACGTCTGACGTTTCAAAATTTCACGGTCTCACAATACCGCGCACATGTACGGCCTCTCTGTGCGCGAAGCGCACTACGGAGCCGCCCCGCCAGACGGATCATTGGCCGCTCCGCTTCGCTCCGCTCCGAGGCTGGGACACCGCCGAGAAACCACGAGAAGACGCTTGAAAGATGCAAGCCTCGGACTCGCCCAGAAGAGAAAGAGCCCTGGAGCTGGGCCGGCCCAGGCGCCCCCGCCCCTCCCTGGAGCAGGCGTGCGAGGCGGGGATTAATCCACATCCACCGCCTGGGAACCGATGTCCTGGTGCTCCAGCGGGCGGTGGACATGGACGTGTCCGAGCCCCCGGGGGCCCGACTATGTCCATGTCCACCGCCTGCCGAGGTCAACAAAAAAGGTCCTCCAGGCGGTGGTCATGTGTAAATTCCTGCCTCGGGAGGAGGAGGAGGAGGAGGAGGAGGAGGAGGAGGAGGAGGAGGCGGAGGAGGAGGAGGGAGGAGGAGGAGGAGAGGGAGGAGGAGAGGGAGAGGGAGTACAGGAGGAGGAGGAAGGAGGAGGAGGGAGGAGGAAGGAGGAGAGAGGAGGAGGAAGGAGGGAGGAGGAGGAGGGGGGAGGGCGAGGATGAGTGTGCGCGCGCGAGCCAGCGCGCCTGGTTCTGTGCAGCCGCGTGCTGGTGTATGCACTTCTGCGTGAAGGTGGTCAGCAGCGCGGAGTAGTTGCTGGGGCGGGCGGCCCCCATGGGGGCGCAGGAGCACGGCGAGGAGGACGAGGAGGAGGAGGAGGAGGAGGAGGAGGAGGAGGAGGAGGAGGAGGAGGAGGAGGAGGGAGAGGACTTTGTCTCTTCCACGGTCCATCGACAACTGACCGCTGAAGCGCTGACGTCGTAGCCGTGCACCCTGGCGGCATCTGACGATGGCAAACAAACGATGACATGCAATAGAAACACGTCGGAAACCCAACCACAACGCAACGGCCAAACCGTCAGAAGCGACCGTGCGCAAAGATCCGTGTCCAGAGAAGGCGGGCAGCGACATTGTGTGATATTCCCTACGGCCCAGACGGCCACGTGTATGCTCCCAGCTCAACCTGATCTGGACAAGGACAGCAAACAGGGACTCGAAGGATAACTGGCAGCCAGGACATGGAAAGACGACAAAATGGTAAAAGAGGAGGAGGAAGAGGACGAGGATGAGGAGGAGGCGGAAACGGAGAGGCAGCAAGGGAGGAAGGGTGAGAGACGGGCCAGAGGATAGTAATTAGGAGCGAGGAAAGGAGGGAGGAGGAGGAGGAGGAGGAGGAGGAGGAGGAGGAGGAGGAGGAGGACCTGGACTGGTCTTGGACTATATGAGCACTCCAGATTAGGCCAGGACTTGAGGGCCAAAGTCACACCGAAGGGGGGGGCAACCCTCGGGACGAGCGAGCCGAGATCCTGGCCCCAGTTCTGGTTGGGGGCGGGCGAAGGCCCGCCTTCGAGTCGTGCCCCCGTCACGGGGCACGCTTCGCCAACCTGCTGGAGGAGGAGGCGGAGGAGGAGAGCGGGTCAACGTGGACAAACCGCGAGTGGCCCGCAGCGCCAGGAGGAGGAGGAGCGAGGAGCGAGGAGCGAGGATGAGGAGGAGGCCCGCAGGCCTGGCAAACCCAAGCTCCTCCGAAAACAGAAAACATCTATGCGACGACTGGGCCTTCATAGCA